AGAGAGAGAGAGAGAGAGAGAGAGAGAGAGAGAGAGAGAGAGAGAGAGAGAGAGAGAGAGAGAGAGCTACCAGGCGTGCTATGAGGCAACTTTCTGCAACTGCGACCGCAGCTTCCAATTCCTTCTCTTTAGCCACCCGCCGAGCTGCAAGGATTCGGGAGGCCTTGGCTGTTGCGTTGGATATGCTGCCCACCAAACGTGGGAATCCGCTCCTCCATGGGTTGTGCGCAGAGCAGACTTTCAAGATATCTCCTCTCGTGATCCGAGTATCTAACAGGGAATTATTGACTTAAAAAAATCCCAGCCACCGTCTAGGGGCAGCATTGAGCACCAGGTTGAATTTATGGTCGAGTCCTGGGGCGTAGGAGAGTTGCCTGATCTCGGTTACCTGAACTGCCCCGACCAGGTTCTCTGAGATGAGGAAGAAGTCTATTTGAGAGGCTGAAATATGTTGGCCGTGATTACGCTTCAGGTACGTAAAGGCTTTCGTAAAGGGTTGAAAAGTTCGAAATGGGTCCAGCAGCCGTCGTTCCGTCATCAGACTGTGGATGGGGGCTGCTGCTTCCCAGGCTGATCCTTCTCTTCCCAAGGCTGCTCCCGAAAGCTTGTCAAGGGCTGGATCCAGAAGAACATTCCAATCCCCTGCCAACACTAGATGTGCCGGGCCTGTACATAATGGTGACAGCTCGTTCACAAGTTCCTGTCTGCGCTGGAGTGTGTGCGGGCAGTAGACTGTCAGCAGGTGGGAAAGCTCATTATTGAAAGTGAAATACATCGTCGCCCATCGGCCTCCCTGGCTGTCCCTCCTTATTGCTTCTTCTGGGATCTGCAGGGCTGCCGCCATTTTGGAGTGAACCAAAATTGCAGTGCCTGAGGGGCTGGGCCTGGGAGTCCGTGGCCAACAGGCCTCTTCACTCCATCTGAACCTCCACTGTAGTTCCCTGCGGGCTAATTCGTATTCGAATGCTTCCGTAAGATGGGTTTCTTGTAAACACAGTATGTCCGGTGGGCGAGCCTCATACCAGTCCAGCGCGTCGGTAACATTATCCTACTTCTGCTGGCTGTTCAGAATCGTCACCATGGCATTAAGAATCATCAGATTATGTGCAGATCCGGTGTCTGTGTGGCAGACCGATGTCCATGTTGCCCGGGTGTGTTGTACATCTTTAGTCAGTGCCCAGTATCCTCTCTTGTATTATCTCGGTGTTCATATCTAATTGCCCACTAGGAAGGCCTCCTGCTTCTCCCTCAGTGTGTTAACCTCCTTGTTCCAGCCCACGTGGTCAGCAAGGAACAGCCTGTAAGAAGCCACCCGGGCCGTACCCAGTGCCACCCTCTCCAGAGCCACCCATGTCCCAACAGGCCACAGGGGCTGGCTTTGACCACCTGCCATGCGGTCCACTCCAGATCCTCCTTTAGGCGAGCATGCTCTGGGAGGGGGACGAGCATCGGGTGGAGGTTTGCCTACTGAAGTTGGCCAGCCGAGTCCTCCCAATCCTCCATGTTACCCATTCTCTTTCCCAGTGTGAGGAGTGGTTTTATGGAATCCCTGAAGACTAGAGAGGGTGCCGTCCTCCAAGATCATGTTAGTGACTGTGATCCACGCTCCAGATCTATGGATGGCAACTTCCCATTCCTTGTGAACCAAGTTTCAGTGACAGGGGATAACGATCCTCTTGTCTTCGTTCTTCTTCGCATCTACCTTCTTCCCCCGAATACAACGTACGGTCATTATCGCTGTATTTGGGGTATCTTTCAGTCTCAATACAGATATAATGACCGTACGTTCTATTCGGGGGAAGAAGGTAGCCTGGCAGCGGCTTCAGTTGGTTTCTTTTGGCTGTCTGCTATCTTCTTCAAGTACAAGTGCTGATCGACAAATTCCTTGTTTTTGGCTGTCAGTGAGGACACATGGGCTTCCATCATGCTCTTTCATCGGTGGAGGTCCACTGGGAAACCTTGCTCAGTCTGTTGGCTTGTCTCCGCTGCCTCCTCAGTTGTGGTCTTCTTTTTCTTGACCTGTTTGCGCTGAGCCGGCAGCTTGCCATTGTCTGCATCGGTAGCAGGCCAGATGAACTGCTTGTCATAGGTCGGGTTGTCCACGTGGATAGAAATCACCTTCTATCCTGGTCTTGAGGCTATATTGCCTGGCCATGAATTCAGACAGCTCATTGTCCCTCTGCAATACTTCAAACCAGTTTTCCACCTTCACTGCTGGTTGCAATCTGCTGGTCCCTGCTCCCAGCTGCTGGACTTTGCGGCTGTAACAATGATGAGCCATGTTCAACTGGATCTCCAGTTCGCGAAATCGCTCCAAGTCTCTGACCGCTTTTCCCAGCCACTCTTTGTCCACCTCTCCCTTGATTTCTTCATCTGCCCTGGGTGCTGTTTCTTCTGGTTCCTCTGGGAGGATTCCCCCAGCTCAATGTCCATCCGGCTTCCTTCCTCTGCTGCCTTGGGTGTGCCTTCGCCTTCCCTGGCCTTTTTGGTGGAGGTTTGCGTGGTCTTCGGGTTTATCTCTTCTCCCCAACCCCTCCTCTTTCTTCTCAGTGCCTTCTCAGTTGTAGAAGGCTTTTTCCCCGAGCTCGCCAATCTTGGCCAAATCATCCATCGTTTTCTGCTTGTCTTCCTGTACGTGCTGCTCATTTAGGATGGTCTTTGTCAGATGGCCCACAGCCTTCTCGTCCATTTTCTTGGCTCCTCTCTGTCTCCACCTACTGGCCTAGGGGGCGTACATTTCTGGTTTAATGTCCAGATCCAACAGGGGGTCTCAAGGTTATCGTCAAAGATCCAACCCTTGTACTCTGGACGGCTCACATACGACACTCCCGCTTTGCCCTCGCACTCCACGAGCTGAGATTGGTTAGCTGATTGCCTTCATCCTGTTGAACAGTTGGCTGGACAGTCGGGGTCGTTCCCCGGATTTCCCCTTTCCCTGCACCGAAAACAGGCTGGGTTGGTTTTGGTCGAGACGAAAACTGTTCCTCTTTGCCCATTTTTACGGAATAACCACACCCCCGAGAACGACGGTGGCTCTCCCGGACGTACGCTCAAGCATGCAATACGTGAGTCATGATTTGGGGCAAGGAAGTCTGGCCCGGCCTCCAGCCAGGCTGTCACCAGGTTGTTCGGGTACTCCGATTCCATACATTTTTGGATAATGCTATGCAGCCCCTTCGACAGATTATTGAGCTGAACCCAAAAATGGCTGCGCGGCATGTTCTGGCGGTATCTCGTGGCTTCTCTGTGGGGAGCTCTGGACGACCGACCCCTTGCAGATCAAAGATTCCAAGGATTTCAGATATCTGGCGTAGCTCTCCTCCACGCACACGATCATTACTGTATTTCTTTCTTGTTTGTGAGATGTCAGGCTCTCTGCCTGGTAAGGAGTGCAGCACTTTGAGTTTGTCGAGCAGCCATGCCCACTTGTTGTTGAGTGATAGTTCTTTACTCTTGTGTGAGAAATTGGAGAAGACTGTGTGCTTTTCATAGAAGGCGTTGACTTCTGCCAAGTCCTCCGCGGGGTATTCCCACACATCCACCTCAGTTTCGTTGTCTTCATCGGCATACAGTTTTTCCTAGAGGATTTTAACCTCGGATTTGATCCGGGTTCCATTAACGAGGAAACCTGGCGCTCTCTGCCCCAGCTTGTTGGGGGGCTGATTAACCTCCTCCTCTCAGGTCTGCTCCATCTGACGAGATCCTGTGACGGTGATCCAGTATGGCGCGGTTGATTGGCGTTACCTTCCATGTTCGTGTTTGGGATCGGGTGGTGTGTGCCCACCACCTGGGCGTAAGAAGCGTCCATGTCCATCCTGGAGCCTGCCGTGGCTGCAGCCATGGTGCTCTGAGGGAAGTACCATCTCGGATGCAAGTTTCCGGATCCAGCACGCGGGCCCTTGCTTCTTCCCGCTAGCTGCCTTGTCCCTTCCTCTTATTCCCGCTGGCTGCCTTGTTCCTTCCTCTCTTACTAGCATCGTTTAATCCTTGGTTCGCCTTGTCGAGTTCCTTTTCTGAACCCCACCAGTTGCCGGGCTCTTTGTAACCCCAGTTACCCCACATGTCTCGTCCCCTGCCGCCTCTCCCTCCTGCTTCTGGTATGTTGTCGGCTAGGATCGCACGTTGTGTTAGCCCGTCCCTGCTAAGTAGCGGGCGACTTCCTACCGGTTCTCTCTCAGCTCCCTTGCTTCTTCCGGCTGGCTGCCTTGTTCCCCTCTCTCCTACTCGCTGCTTTCGTTTCCGGATTCCTACTTGCTGTCAGGGTTGGTTCACCCCTCCACGTCTTCTTGTATACTATTGGCTCCCTTGCTTCTTCCCGGTACCTGGCTTGCTCCCTTCTCTCTACTTGCTGCATCCGAAATGAAAATCGGCAGGCCTCACTTTTTTTATGGCGCCACCAAAGTCCCAAGGCTGGCCTTTTGGGGTATCGGTCACCGGGCCACCCTGGGAGGCCATGTTATTGGCAAGCCCGGCCTTTCCAGTGCCGGACTTGAGCAAACCCCACCCTCAACCAGCCCCCCAACCTTCCCCCCTCAACTCCATATCCAGCCTCCCAACTAGCCCCCCAACCCCCCAACCTCCCCGAAACAAAAAAAAAAATGCTGCAACACAGAGTTTCTTGGCGAATTTGGGTTGTGCAGGCCAAGTGCAGTTCAGCCCCAACTTGAAAAAAAACAAAGAAACAACGTGGGGAGGCCTTTGCCGACTGGTCCCCCTGACTAGTCGGCTGCCAACTGGTCAGCAGTCGGCGTCGGCAGTCAGCATCGGAGCAAACCTGCATCCAATTGGAATCTCACCCATTTTAACACTCTCTGACCCCAATCACAGGAGTTTCAGGTCACAACACCAGCCATCACTTTTTGAAAATTTGGACCATCTCGATTTATGCGTGTCATCCTTGCGCAGGGGCCATGCTAATCTTCTCTGTATTGTCCCAGTTTTAATGGATGCCCCGAAGGAGAACACCAGCCATCACTAACATCATCCATCCCCAAAATTATCCCAAGACTCAAGATACTGGCAAAACTGCGAGCCAATCGGCTTAGGAATATCACCCGGAGCTGCTTCCATATTGATCAAACAGGTTTTATCCCGGGGAGATACATCCTCGACAATGTTACGACACTAACAAAGTCGGCACACTACATCATGGACAAGAAACTCAACGCAACTATACTCTTCTTTGACTTCGAAAAGGCATATGACCAGGTTAACTGGAACTTTCAGCAGGAATGTATGGAGAAGATGGGAGTGGGACCGAACTTTTGAAAATGGGTGAGAGTGCTTTACAACGATGCTTACGGTCAAGTGCAACTCAATGGCTTCCTTTCTCCGGCATATAAAATGAGCCGTTCAATTCGTCAAGGAGATCCACTAGCAGCCCCCCTCTTTTTTGTCACCATGGAGGCGATAGTGTCTTTCTTGAGAAAGGACCCGACAATAGAGCGACTAGTTGCGAAACCGACTTATTCC